ATGAGAGCACATGGCACACAGGAAACAAAGACAAAAGCCATGTGCTCACACAAAACAAAACACATACACGCAGCTAATGAGAAAACTCATATGCTGCGTGTTCACACAAGACAAGATAGCACGCAGCCAGCGAAAAACCAAGCTGCATGCTACAGAGCACAAGACAAAACAGGACATGAAAGCATGCAGCCGATAACATGAGCTGCGTGCAACAACAACACAAGACAACAAGAAAAGCACAAAACACACGTGGACAGAAGAGCGCACGGCCGAGCGAACTCGAGACCATACGCTCACACAACCAGACAGAACATGGAGCGCGAGGCCCCGGACCCCGACACGAAACTGAAACTCAAGACATGAGTGCCGGGATCTGAACACCACGCTCCAACATAAAACAGTACACGCAGACGAGAGCGCACGGCTCGAGCACTCTCGAAGCCGCTCACATGAAAACAATGACATGACGGGAGTGTCACAAAACCATTAATTACACTAGACCGAAGTGACAGAACCCTTACACTAGCCCCACCTGGCGTCCCTAACGAGGAACACCCAAAAACAAGACAGGAACATGACAGCACAAGACCAGAACAAGCATAAGACCGATACACAACAGGCAACACAAGACAGGAACAATCTAAACACCGAGACAAAGAGGGGAGGGAGGGAAGGAGGGAGGGGAGCCAAGCCAGTAAAAATACATTGTATGGGTCAAAATTATCGATTTTTCTTTTATGCCAAAAATCATTAGGATATTAGGTAAAGATCATGTTCCATGAAGATATTTTGTAAATTTCCTACTGTAAATATATCAAAACTTAATTTTTGATTGCATTGCTAAGAACTTCATTTGGACAACTTTAAAGGCGATTTCTGTCAGGACCACTATCGTCAAAGATGATTGACAATTAGCATACAGTTTGGATTGGCGGTATGGTTCTGTTCTGGGCAAGAACTCCCTGCGCATCCATGCAGCCTAGCATGGATGAGAGCAGGGAGAGCAGCA